GAGCTGGATTAGCTGGATTACAGATCATGACAGAAGCGGTCTGAGAGAGAATGAGCATCTGTAAGGCATGCAGCATGTGCCTGTCAGCAGCAGTCCTGCCCTCTGTCAGTAATAATGATAACGGTCATTTCAATCGCAGATCTCTAATGGCAGCAATGTGAGGAGGCTGAAATTGTGTGCTGCAGTGTGCTCTGGAATTAATAATTAGTGAGGTTTTTTGTTTCATTAAAGCTGTCTAAATCTGACAAGAATCAGACTGCAAGTCGTGAACAACTAGATTATGGTTTTGGGTGATAACTATCAGCATAAAGAGCAATTGTATATAGACCATAGTCAGAGTAGATAGCATATTTTATTTTATACAAATATATTTTTTAATGATTTAGCTTTTCATGCAGAGCTGTTAAATGCATTGATTTCATTTCTTCAGTGTTGTCACATGAAAAGATATAATAAAATATTTACAAAAATGTGAGGGGTGTACTCACTTCTGTGAGATACTGTGTATATATATATATATATATATATATAGGCACTTTGTATTCTATTTATATTCTGCACTTCATTTCTAGGACATCTGTTTATGTTTACATTTAACATTAACCTTATTAACTGCTCAGAATTGGTTTTGTGTGCATTAACAAAAGTATTACTTCTGGAGTCAATAGTATGCTGCCAAAATTAAGCACAAATGTATTAAATACATAGTACTAAAGTTTGATGTGTTGACATTAATCAAATCTGCCACCTAGTGTGGTTCATGAAGAAAAGCTGCTGGCTTTTGGTTCACTCTCAGAAAAAAAAAGTGCAAAAGCTGTCACTGGGGCAGTACCCTTTCAAAAGGTATACATTTGTACCTTATTTACCCCTTAAGGGTGCATATAAGGTACATATTAGTACCTAAAGTGTACATATTAGCAGCTTATAGTACCATATACCTTTTGAAAAGGTACCGCCCCAGTGACAGCTTTTGTACCTTTTTTCTGTGAGTGTTTAACCACCAATCATTGTCTCTCTACAGGTGACAGCTATTCCCGAATCGTATTTGCCTCTGCAGAGGGAAAGAACTTGTGGAATATACAGGCAATAAAATCCATGTGCAATTTTGACAATACACGGGTATGTAGCATTGCATTGCATATATTGATTATAGCATTTGCAGATAAATAATGGGATGTTAGAAATTTTTGAGTGTTTTACTGGTGTTTTTCATGTCTGGTCCTGCAGGTTCGCTCCCATCCCCAGTACTTGGATCTGTGTCAGCGCACCACTGCTGCCTCCTGCTGTCCCAGCTGGACGCTTGGGAACTACATAGCCATGCTTACTAACAAGTCCTCCTGTCAAAAGATCTCAGAGCGAGATGTTTCCCACACCCTGAAGATCCTGCGGTCCTGTGCAAAGTATTACCACAACGGCACTCTTGGTCCCGAGTGCTGGGACATGACGACCCGTAAGAAGGACCTCAAGTGTGGCAACGTGCCACGGAAGTGTACAAAATACAATGCCATATATCAGATTTTTCACTTTTTGGTGGACAAAGACTTTCTGAATCCAAAGAACACGGACTACCTTCCGCCTAACCTCAAGTGCAGCATGCTCTTCTCCCCAACGGAGAAAGGTGAAACAATGATGAACATTTACTTGGACAACTTTGAGAACTGGAACTCCTCGGATGGGATCACGACCATCACAGGAATAGAATTTGGCATCAAACACAACTTATTTCAGGACTACCTTCTGACGGATACCATGTATCCAGCAATAGCTATTGTTATTGTGTTGGTGGTCATGTGCATCTACACAAGATCAATGTTCATCACCCTTATGACAATGTTTGCCATTATCAGTTCGCTGATCGTCTCGTACTTCCTGTACCGTGTAGTCTTCAACTTTGATTTCTTCCCCTTCATGAACCTCACCGCGCTCATCATACTGGTTGGAATTGGCGCCGACGATGCATTTGTGCTCTGCGATGTCTGGAACTACACAAAGTTTGACAAACCCAATTCCGAACTCTCTGAAACAGTCGGCGTCACGCTTCAGCACGCGGCACTCTCAATGTTTGTCACCAGCTTTACCACAGCCGCTGCCTTCTATGCCAACTACGTGAGCAACATCACTGCCATCCGATGCTTTGGTGTGTATGCTGGTACTGCTATCCTGGTTAACTACATACTGATGGTCACCTGGTTGCCAGCTGTGGTGGTCCTACATGAGCGGTACCTGGTCAACCTCTTAACATGTTCTCGGTCACAACACCACCAGACGGAGGGTGCTACAACGTTTTGGACAAGCCTGTACCAGATGGTCAACAAGTGTCTTTTTAGCATTTCAGAGGCCTGTCGGATTTTCTTTGAGAAAGTTTTGCCTTGCATCGTGATCAAGTTGCGCTACTTGTGGCTCTTGTGGTTCTTGGCGATGATGGTGGGTGGTGCATACGTTGTTTGCGTAAATCCCAAGATGAAACTGCCTTCTCTGGAGCTGTCGGAGTTTCAGGTTTTCCGCTCTTCCCATCCCTTTGAACGCTACGATGCGGAGTACAAAAAACTCTTCATGTTTGAACGGGTCAACCACGGGGAAGACCTCCACATGCCAATCACCATCATTTGGGGAGTTACTCCAGTTGACAGCGGAGATCCGCTAAACCCCAAAAATAAGGGTAAACTAACACTTGACACAACCTTCAACATTGCGAGTCCTGCAAGTCAGGTATGGATTCTCAATTTTTGCCAGAAGCTTAGGAACCAGAGCTTCGTGTTCCAGTCTGAGGAGCAAGACTTCACAAGCTGCTTCATGGAGACTTTCAAGCAATGGATGGAAAACCAAGACTGTGACGAGGCTTCCGTCTATCCCTGTTGTAGTCAATCCACATTCCCTTACCGACAAGACGTCTTTGAGTTGTGTATCAAACGGGCAATTATGGAGCTTGACCGAAGCACCATCTACCACCTTGACAGCAAGACTCCAGGGCCAAGGTTTGACATCAATGACACAATTCGAGCAATTGTGCTCGAGTTTCAAAGTACCTACCATTTCACTCTGGCATACGAGAAGATGCATCAGTTTTACAGAGAAGTGGATGCTTGGATTCAGGAGGAGCTGACTGATGCTCCTGAAGGACTAAGCTATGGATGGTTTGTAAGCAACCTGGAGTTCTATGACCTGCAGGACAGCCTATCAGATGGGACTCTTATCGCTATGGCACTGTCGGTGGTGGTGGCCTTCAGTGTTATGCTCCTGACCACCTGGAATATCATCATCAGCCTCTATGCCATCATATCCATTGCCGGAACCATATTTGTCACAGTTGGGTCGCTGGTGCTCTTGGGTTGGGAACTAAATGTGCTCGAATCAGTGACCATCTCAGTTGCTGTAGGCCTCTCTGTGGACTTTGCTGTCCATTATGGAGTGGCGTACCGCCTTGCACCAGAACCGGACAGGGAAGGAAAGGTGCTATTCTCCTTGAACAGAATGGGCTCGGCTATAGCGATGGCAGCACTCACAACCTTTGTAGCCGGTGCGATGATGATGCCATCCACAGTTTTGGCCTACACTCAACTGGGCACGTTTTTGATGCTAATCATGTGCATTAGTTGGGCATTTGCTACGTTTTTCTTTCAATGCATGTGTCGCTGTTTGGGACCTCAGGGCACCTGTGGACAGATTCCTTTGCCAAAGAAACTCCAGTGCTATGCCTTTTCAGAGCACACATCTGAAAACCAATCTAATCCGAACCAAGGTAAACTCGGTGCTTGCTACACAACCAAGTACCAGATAGATAACGCAAGAAGTGAGGGTCGACACGAACACTATGAGCTTGAGCCCTTGGCGTTGAATGTCAGGAATGAGGAAAAGGCCTCGGATGAGGAACAGGAAGCATGTACACAGTTGCACAATGGCATCACTTCTCATCACTCAACCTTCAAAAGCTGCACCGACCCAGGAGAACCCAGTCCTGAGATTGAAAATGGCTTACCAGGCACAGAGCTTTCACATCTTCATCAATTTGCGTACAGTACAAGGGGCGCCTGTGAGAACTCCATGCATCAGTATATGAGGGAGCGACAAAGGACTCCCTACCGTCCTTGCAGCCAATCTCGAGAAACCCCATGCCCTGGTAAACAGACCAATCACTTACCTGTGGGTCAGAACCTTCGGTCCTCACGGGATACAGTGCACACTCCCGCTGACTGCTACGTAAACTGTGGCCACTTCCAACATTGCTCACAGAGCCAAACATCAAGGCCAGCCCCTCACAGATGTTTCCCTGGGGGCTACAGCATGCACGCAGTGCAACTTTTGCATCAGGCACTGTCGTCCGATACTGCAGTGCACGACGGGTCCCACATCAATGTGTGTGGCCCCAATTCACCTCTACCAGAGAGCCAGAACTTTCCAGCTCCTATTCAGTTTCCAGATGTTCAGCGCTGTGCTTTACCTGACACAACTCGGGTCTGTACTGTTAATCACGATACACAGAAGACAGGGGGCCTAGCATTAAATTCCCTGACCCCTCACAAAATACCATGGAACCATATAAAAACAAAAGTAAATGGCACTTGTGTTTTGCTGCAGGACAGTCGTGAGATTCGTGAAGCGATTCCAGTGGTACGGGAAGGAAGTGTCAAATGCAATCTGAGTAACAAAGACAATAATGAAAGGGCAGAGCCTGTATCTCCCAAAAAAATTAACTGTTTTAAAAAGACTGTAAAAGCGAAGTGCAATTCTGTAGAGTTTCACAAACCAAAAACCAGCGTGCCTACTATTGCCGTTAATTCAAAAGCCTCATCTGAGAGTTTATGCTAACATTTAAAATGAGAGCGTTAGATTGAGATATCAGAACATATTGCCATATTAAGATTTAGCACAGAAAAGCAACTGGTTGTTTCCTGACAGGAAAGAGTTTCTTGACATTATGTGCATGGGAATCCTGACATGACGTCAAGGAAAACTTTTGTCTGATTTAAGAGGACACTATTTTGACCCACTGGCTGGTATTTGTGACATCTGTTTTAGATAATGTTTTTAATGTCTGGCCACAGGCCATCACTTTTTCATGGGAACAGAAAAACATAATCAGAATTATTTTCCTGCACATTTTATATGAACTTGTATATATTTTATGTATGTGTGTTGTGTATGTATTTGAGTCATGCACTTTTTTGTTGATGCTGATTTGAATGTTTCGCTTATAAAGTTTTTAATACTTCACAAGCAAACTTCAATAGTTTCTGTGATGGTGAATTGAAAGACTCATTGTGCTTTCTTTCAAAGTCGTCTCCTTTTTTCCAGTTTCTTAGATAAAATCGCCTCTTCCTGCAGTGCGCAAACATTTACATTAGCCTCAGGACTTCAGGGAAATTGAGTCAGTTTATGTGACTTAACACAAAAGAAAATGGTTTTTGTCAAATATACTACATGCAAAATTAAGTATTCTTTTAAGTATTACGTTCTTGACATGTACGTTTTTTTACTCATTTTTGAAAATTAGAATCTGTTCTGTTCTTTTTTTTAATAGAAAGATAATTATAAATATTTACAAATTTTGTATTATTTGTTAATATTGGGTGTACCATTAAAGGCTGCTATCTGGTGTAGTAATAGTATTAATCATAATAATTTAAATGTATAACATCAAATTTGGTAAATTTTAAATAATTGGTACCGGTTGTAAAAAAAAAAATATATATATATATATGTAGTGTATCCAACATTTGTCCTTTTTTAGCAGTAACCATTTGGTATTTGCCAAGGTTCATTCAAATAACTGAATGCAAAATAGAATTATAAACAAAGTATAATTTTACAAAGTAGTACATTATCTTTAAAAGTCACGTTTTATTTAAAAACCAAGTAGTGTCCCACAGATATTTTGAACACTTGAATTGTAACACACAGTATGATTTATTCAACTTTGTGCCAAATCCTGAAACAGAATGAAAATAAAAATTAAAAAGGTGTGCCATTTACATAATAAAACAATATTTAAAGCAATTACAGTGTTAATGCAGGTATCCGTTCATCCGAATAAAGATGTATCTGTAATGTCACAGTTCCATTGAACTTTACACCAGCTGAGTGAGAAGTTCATGCTACAGCACATTTTGGATAATACAAAATAAACTCTTATAATTATACAGTTCAGTATGGTGTCAAGCTTAATACACTTAATTTTTATAGACGTCAATGTCCAAAAGAAAGTGGGTCAAACACAGTAGGACGAATGAGAACCTCACCAAAAGCAAAGAAAGGTATGTCCAAACGAAGTCCTTCACAGTTACACTGCCGTGTCCGCATGAACATTTGCTGCTTCAGGATTGTTTTTGACCTCCTTGTCTTTTTCTTTAGCATTTGTTTGTTTAACCTTGGTGTTTTTTCTTATTTTATGCAGAAGTTGGTCATAAAACCACTCCAAGTCCTGGTTGTCGTCGGGCCACGTAAGGTACCTTCTGGTCTCAATGTAGGATCTCAGTTGTTCGTACTTCAGTAACCTGTACTGCGGTATGTTCCCTGCAACCAGCACCACCAGAATGTCTTTAAGTTCCACTAGCATTCTGCACTGAGCCAGGTTGAAGGTTTCCAAGCACCAACCATCCTTCAGGAAATGTTCAGACAGCACACAAAGGGTTTTTTGACTATTCTGAATAGCATTTCGCATGTTGGTAAGATGGTCCTCCCCGGGTATGAAGTCTCGCTCCTCAAAGCAGCAGCGGAGTGTATTCTGCTCTGAGAACTGAGAGTCGAGCCTCTTCAACAGCGCTCTTTCTACCCACTTAATATCACTGGAACTGAAACAAAGATACACGTCATACAGGAATCGATCAGGATCGGGCTCAGGCTTCTCTTGCTTTTCATCCACAAGTTTAGCAACAAGTTTTTTGTAAAGTTTGAAGATGTAGCCACGTTGACAGACATAAATGATGGCGCTGGCAGTGAATAATATGATTAGTGCGGTACAGCAAATGAAAAGCGCAAGCCTCAGTTTTTCAACGCTCCTCTCATCCTCTTCATCCTCACATTGAATGCTGGATCTAACAACCGAAACCATGTACTGATCCTCAGGACTGGCACATGTCACATCCTCAATGGGGTGAAAAAGGGTTACGTTGGTTTGATTTAGCCATGTTTGGAAATCCCTTAGGTTGCAGTCACAATTAAATCCATTGCCCAGCAGGCTGAGGTAGCTGAGGGTGCTGAAGAGGTTTGGATCCACTGAATAAACAGAGTTGTATTCAAGATTAAGATATTGTAAACTTTTAGGGAAAATACCATTAGGAAGGTACTTCAAAGAATTGGAGGACAAATCCAAAAAGATCAAAGAGGTGAGGTCTTTGAAAATGTCTTTGGGAAGCGACTGAAGTCTGTTGGAACTAAGAAAAAGCGCTTCTAACTGGTGAAGATCGTCAAATAGGTTTAAACATGTTCCTTCTGACCAGATAACTTCCAGACCTGCAATCGCAAGATCAAGGATTTGTATTTTTTGTGAAAGCACTTTATGCTCGTCATCAGGGCAATAAACAAGTTCATTACCTCGAAAAACTATTTCCTCGATTTGAGGAAACTTCTCTAGTATCGTGTAGAACTCTGACGTGGAAGATATTTTGTTAAATTGCAGGTAAAGGGTTTTGAGGTTTGTGGCAATGTTGAGTAAATTGGACGCATGTGTAATTTTGTTGTCACCCAAGTAGAGCTTCTCCAGGCTTGGTAGGCTTGCAAATGTATGTGCATATTTGAGCGAATTTCCTGTTAAATTTAAGTTGAGTAGATTTGGAAGTCCTTGAAATGACTGATGTCCAAGCGTCCATATATGATTATATGACAAATCAAGCACCTCAAGTTTCTCTAGATTCTGAAAAGTTTCAGAATTAATAATACCCAGGACGTTTTTGGACAGGTTTAGCTGTAGTAAATTTGTCATACCCCAAAATGCATTGTTTTCAATCTTGTTGATCTGACTTTGTGCCAGTGTAATTTGTTCTAGATCTGGCAAATAACTAAATACTGAATATGACAGAGAAAAAATATTTGAACTGGACAGATCGAAAGTCTTAACACCACTCGCCTCAAGACCCTTGAATGTGAATTTGTCTGGATCTGGGAAATTGTTATGACCAAAAGAACTGCCCATGTTGTAACTGTTACTGAGAATGAGACCAAGGATTTTTGTACCAGTGATTGCATCAAAAAAACGCTTTGCCATGGGAACTTTAAAGCCGTTTCCAGATAGGTCCAATACAGTTACGGACATGTTCTTAAACGGGTTTCCACACTTGTCCCATCCTAACCAGTACTCATTCATGTCTTGCAGTGTCACGGAGGCCAGTTGCAGAAGCGTGAAATGTTTACCCTGAAAGCTGAGGAGGTCTTCTTCACAGATGCTCTTCACTTTGTTGTGAGAGAGATCCAGCACGTGGAATCTCCTCATATTTAAAAAGAACGATGCCGGCTGGATTCTGTGAATGTTGTTATTGCGTAAGACAAGCATCTGTAGAGACACCAGAGGTTTGAGGACGTCACCAGACAAAACAGAACCATTTAAACTGCACTGACTGAGAGTGAGATTTTTAAGGTTGGATAATCCGTTAAACGCTCCTGTATCCATTTGCAGCAGGTGGTTGTAGTCTAGCTGAAGTGATGTTAAATTAGAGAGTCTTCTGAATGTATTGTTTCTGATCACAAGCCCTGGTGTTTGGTGCATCAGTATGATGACTTGTAGACCTTCCACATGAGAAAAGGATGTTTCATGGAGTTCAGCAATGCTGTTGTTACTCAGATCCAAGTTATTTACATGCTTGGGCAGCTCTGGCACCTCTTGAAGGCCTCTATCTGTGCAGAGGACAACAGAGCCGTCGACTGAACACACGGAGGTGCATTTCACAATGTGAGTGCTCATGCATAATCCAAGGAGGAGCCGAGATAATATGTGTCTTGTTGCCATTCTGAGATCACTGTAGAAAAAAAAAACGCATTATAAAAAGGACGGTTAAAACAGTTCACCCCAAAAAAGACAATTCTGTTGTGTTACTCAAATATTTTTCCTTTTGTAGCTACTCCACTGCAGTAGAAGAAAGTCAGAAACACAAGGGCGAGTAAGCTATATGATGGCAAAATTTTCTTTCTTGGGTAAAGTATTGTGCATTTTAAGTTTGCAATTGTGGACACCAAAAAGTTAAATAATGCAATCCAAGCATAATTTAGTAAAGACTAAAACCACAGAACTGAATAAGGCATCTAATAGCACAGCCAGCTACTTCTGTAGCAGGTTTAGCCTATCTTACAAATCGTTTGCTTATAGTTCAAAGTCCAGTGACTTTAGGGGCTTAAACAAGTTTTTAATGTGAAATTCATTACATTCTTACGAGATTTTACTATCAGTGATCCGATACGTGTGAGAGCTTTACTGCAGAGTTCATAAATACTAATAACAACCGAAAAATAGTTTTTCGCGTCTTACCTGTTCGGCCATTAATCCAGTGTTAAACTGTTCAGCAGTTTCTGAAGTCATTTTATTGTCAAGTTTCAAGAGTTCCGTGCGGCGATAATGTGGAGTTCCTCCTCTTCTCTCCCCCTTCTTCGTTTCATGTGTGTTTCTCAACATCTCTGAAATGGGAAATAACTTTCTGACCCAGTGACTCATTTTCCGGTAAGGGATTCTTCAAGTGTGAGTACTGAACAAACGTTCAGATACTAGTACGAATATTCACGGAACGGTGACATATGCAGCACATTAACGGTGTGTTTTGTTACCTTTTTGCCCTTATAGTGATTATAGTGCAGTATCACTCCGCTCTGCACGAGACAACTTATTTTACCGGGATTTAGGCTACTAAGATGCAGTATGTATCTACTATATAGGGGCAGCCCGTGTTATTAAAGTAACTTTGTATGTTTAATTAAAGAAAAAATTATATCTATAAAATCAGCTGTTATTGCAGTCGTATTAACTTTAATAATGAGCAGATATTAATTTGTGACTACTGAACTGTTTTAATAAATCTTCCTGTATTCTGAAGATGACTAGAGGAAAAATAGTGAAGTTTAGCATATAAATAATTTAATTAAAATGAACACTGTTAATATATATTAAAATGAGAATTACACACTGCCAGCAGAACTACTAAATCAGGTCTTATGTATATAATAGCAGATGTCTCCATTTCTGGCCTAGCTCTCAGCTTCAAAATGGTTTAATCCGTCTTTCTTTCAAAGGAACATTTGAAGGCTATTCTTTGGTCAGCTATGTTTGCACAAGGTGTCACTGAAAGATTGCTTTCTGTACATAAATCACAATGTTAATATTAGCTTTGCAATGTTGTCTTTTATTTGTATTTTTTTACAGTGTGCCTTATTAAAATGAACGGATCATAACAGGAAATTATGCCAGATGGCATCGTGAGGTCAACCAAA